GGGGAGGAGGAGGAGGAGGAGGACGAGGAGGAGGAGGAGGAAGAGGCAGAGGAGGAGGAGGAGGAGGAGGAGGAGGAGGAGGAGGAGAAGGAGGAGGTGGCCGCGGTTCTCCGCGGCAGCCGTCCAGGTCTACGACGCGGAGGAGGCCGCCGCCACGGCCGCCGCGGAGAGCCGCGCGCGGCTTGGGCCGGGCGTCACGGCCGCGCCGGTGGCCTGTGGGGCTTCCTGGGGCCGTCTGCGTCGCCGTCGTCAGCTTCGTGTTTCGACGAACGCGTTGCACTACTTGCAAACTACTTACTCGCAAGCTTCTGAGAATCACATGTTTGCCTCGATGAAAAGGATACCGGATCCCCCGCGGCGGATCCAGGCCATTTGCGAGTAGTTACTCTGCGAGTAGTGGAACGCGCTTGTCTAGTGGTCGCTGTTTTCACTTTCGATTCCGATTTCGTCGTCGTCGTTGCCGTCGCTGTCAAAGTCGCCGTCGCTGTCTCCGTCGCCGTAGTCGGCGCTCTCGCAGTGGTCGTCGTCCTGTTCCTCGTCTTCGTCGTCCCGCCCAGGCTCTGTGGGTCGTTTGCGTCCGCCGCCGCCTTCGTCGGTGTCGTCGTCGTCGTCGTCGTCGTTGTCGTCGTCGTCGCTTTCGCCGTCGGTCCCGAGTTGCCTCCCAGTGCTGACTCCGCTGCTGTGGCTGCTGCTCCAGCTTCCACTTCTTCTTGTCCCCCTCTTCTTCCTCGGACCGGAACACGAAAATATACAAAAGTATTTTGTGATATCAGAAAGAAGCTTTCACCCTGTCCCCCCCTGCTTCGTTCCGCCTGCCGTCGGCGCGGCCCTCTCTTAGGGAGCCCACAAAGGACGTACGCGCCCAGCTATGTACATGAACACGGCCCCTCGATCCGCGAGACCGGCCGCGTGATACGAACATCTGTGCCATGCGTGCTCTCGAAACCAGCGTGGATTCATGCACATGTACGTCCTTCTTTCGCTCCTGATCTCTTGCGCCCGCGCCGCGGGTCCTCGACCACGCTCCAGGGGGGCGGAGTGTGGCCAGAAGGCACGATCGCCGACGACCGCAGGGCCCAGCGCTCCTCTCTCCCCAGGGCGTCGCCCCCGCCCGGGCCCGGCCAGGACTTGCCCTGGGGACCGTCGGGGCAGGGGCCCGAGAACGTTTAGTTACATTCGCAGGCCTAGAGATTGACACCAACACCAATATCGGCGTTGTGCATCCACCGAGGGAGGAAGATCCCGATCTCGGTGATGGTGGTAATATTCTGGCTTCCAAGGTGGCCGAAATATTGCCACCAACACCGAAATCGAGGATCGTCTTCCCCCTGTGGAGGCAACCCCTTGTGTTGGTGTTGGTGCCCATTTCTAGGCCTCCAATACATAGCCAGAGGGCACATCATAATAATCGGGGGCGGAAAAGAGGGGGGTGACGACTGGGGGGGTGGATATCATGCCGGGGGCCATGATCTGTCCCCAGATTTCATGGCGCCTCTTCTCATTTCATTACGTCCCTGGCCCCCCCGCTGGGCCGCGCACATGCCGCCGGTCATGATTTGCATCCCCCCCTCTTGGACACCCCCCTCTTGGCCGCTCCCGAAGAGGGCACAGCATAAGAGCCCCAAAAAGTTTACAGGGCTTGCAGACTGAGGCATCGGACAAAAGTCTACATGGACCTCGCCCAGGAGAAGCTTACACGGACCAGAACGTGAAGCATCTCTGCCCGACCCCGACCCCCGCCCAAGTGAACGCATAGATGATGCCCCCGTGCAGGCGACGGAAGCGGCGTCGGTGAAACAGGCGATGATCTTCCAATCAAGCTATCTGGGGATGGGGCCAACCGAGGGGGCAGCGAAATAGCTTAACTATGTAGAAAGCTTGTGTGTGTGTGTTTGTTTGTTTCGCTTCTTATCCTTCGTCGGGCTGCGTGTCACGCGCCGGGGATGATCTGTTTTTTCCCTCCCCCCTGCTGGTGCTAACGCTCCTCATGCTGATCTTCAGAGGTGGGCTACGTGCAGGGGATGAACTTCATAGCCACCGCGCTGTTGTGGCACGCTGCGCGGGACGAGGTGGATTGCTCAGCGACTTGCCTGCTGCCTTCAATTCTTGGGACCGCGAAGTGGCGAACACACATACATACATTCAGTGTTTTCCGGGTTGACAAACCAAGCGCCGCCACTGTCACATTTCAATTTATGATGGAGCGGAAGCCTCAACCGTAGGCAATGTTAGTAATATCCATTTGATTTTTCGTTTTTCATCACCTCTTGCTGCCGACTCGTCTGTCTAACCCTTCTTCGCTGTCAGTCGCACCATCATTGAGGTAGGGTTCTGAGCGTTTCCCATGTAGGGTTCCCTGTGGGACAACATATCGCCGCGGTTTTCCCCCAGCCGTCGTGTGTTTGGTCCTTGTCTCAGCATTGACCAAAATATTGCTGCTCCTTCTTCAACCCGCCTCCTCCCCTCCTTCCACTGCGCGGTCCCAGACGAGACCTCGCCTGCCCTCAGGCGCCACCAGGCGGGCAGGCTGCCGTCGGGGCTGGACTATCCTGGGGTGTCATCGTCGACGCGTGCTGCACTGTTCCGTCGACACATGTCCACAAATTGCTCTTTGCCTTTTGAATGTGCATTGTAGTGTAGCAGAGCATTTGCGCATGCACGAGCGTAGGGCGCAGCAGGTGCAAGAGAGGATTGTGGACTGTGACCATTTTGGCACAAAACCGAGATAAAACACAAAACAGAGATAAAGCACAAAAAAGTGACCATTGGCTCAAGCGGCGGCCGAGAGACTCAAGCTGTTGTTTCCCGTCTTCTTCTCTACTTCTTGCCCGCCCGCGCCCTTCATCCTCTCCCTGCACCTGCTTTCGCTCTGCCCCGTTGCCCTGCTGGGCTCTACCACTTTGTCCGTCCCTTCGCTTCCTCCTGCCCTTTTCGTGTCTCTGCCCCGTTTCTGCTTTCCCCGTCGCCCTTCCCTGTGTCTTTGTCGTCTCCTCTCGCTGGTCTCGCTGCTTCCTCTCCTGGTCCGTCTTCTCTTGTCGCTTGCTCCGCTTTAGGTCTGCGCCGACCGATCGCCGTGTTGCTCAGCACATGACTGCCGACGTAAGTGTGTCTGTCTGTGTGTGTGTGTGTGTGTGTCTGTGTACCCTCCGGCCGCCTGAGGCCCCGCCCGCCCGCGCCCTGTCTCCCCAATTAGTGCTTCGCGCGCCCCGCCTAGCTCTTAACCGGAAGAGGCCCGCTCCCGACCCGCCGACCAAAAAGTGTGTCTGTGTGTGTGTGTGGTGGTGGTGGTGGTGGTGGTGGTGGTGGTTCTGTGTGCGTGCGTGCGTGGCGAACGTTTTCTGTTGACGGGGTTGGACGCCAGCCTCGCCGGCCCCGGTGCTGCTGACGGCTTCCAGCTTCGGGGGCGGAAAAGAGGGGGGTGATGACTAGGGGGGGGTGGATATCATGGCGGGGGCCATGATATTTCCCCAGATTTCATGGCGCCTCTTCTTATTTCATTACGTCCCTGGCCCCCCCGCTGGGCCGCGCACATGCCGCCGGTCATGATTTGCACCCCCCCCCCTCTTGGACGCCCCCCTCATTGCCGCTCCCGACAGCTGCCGCCGCTCAGGGGCCCGGCCTGCCGCCCCCCGCTTTGGCGCCGCCCCCCGCTGCGCTGCTCCCCGCCGCTGCCCGCGGTTGCCCCGTGAGGGGCCGCTGCTCTCCCCGTGCTCCGAGCACAGTGTATGGCTACCACCACCAAGATCGAGAATAATCCACGATGCGATTTGGTGCAGTCAATTTTTACTCTATTTGCCCCTAACCCTGCCCCTAACCCTGCCACTATCCGAGATGACCCTGCCCCTAACCCTTTTTGCGGTCAATTTCTATTGCGGGCGGCGGTGGTGTATAAAAATTGGCCTCGCACTTGCACTTGCTGGTTCTCCATGATCGATCCTCGGTGGCCTCACTCTTCGCTTTTCAGCCCTCGTGAGCTCACTGCTCGTAAGTCGGCCGAGCGAACCGTGCCTCGCCCGCGCGCGCCCGAAAACGGGTGTGGCGTGCAGGCCTGGGCTGTTCAGCGCTCTCTTTTTCCCGGCTTGCCGGGCCTTCCTTTGCGCGATGCACGCCTGTTTTGCTTCACAAGTGCTCGTGCAGTGCAGCCACGCTCTTAGGTCTGCATGAGACTTGCCTTGCGTAGCCGACCCATCTGCAACGTCAGGTGGAATTGGCGGTAAGCGTGCCCCGCCTTAGCTCCCGCTGCAGTGACGTGGCTCGGCCGCTGGAGGATGATATGATTTATGTCTGTTTGTCATATCGACCTAGGTAAATACATACGCAATGTAATTTGATATTCCTGTTCCTATTCCGATATTCTCTATCAACCGATAGCCCCGCCCCCCCCCCCTAAACAGAGCTTCCTTGGATCAATGGCGCCAGGGACTCCCTGGACGCCCTGTCGGAGGGTCTCAGGGGCATTCTTGGCAGTTGGATGCCCCTGTCGACTTCAGCGAACGGGCCCGAAACGGTCTGGCAGGCGGCCAAACAACCCCACCAAGGTCCCATGAGGCCCTGGACCCACCGAAAACGTTGGACGACGACCCACAAAAGGATTTCAGGGTTTTTGCAACCGCAAAAAGCAATATATTTCAGACCCTCACAGGGCAAAAGTCGTCGCATTCTTAGGGGAACGCGCATTTTCATAATTTTCGTTCTTGCGCACGGACCGCCGTCGTGGACCACCCAAGAGGCCTATCGCCCCAAGCCGACCCCAAGACAGGCAAAGAGGGCCCCAGAATGGTCCAAAAAGGCAGCCAAATCCGACCCCCAAACCCCAAGAAGGTTCTAGAAGGCTGCGAGAGAGAAGGCTCGAGCCTATACCTCCGCCCTGGGGTCACTCCAAGATGTCGCGAACAAAGCCCGCAGACGCTCCAAGGCGTCCCCGGCTGGCCCAAAGCGGCCATGGAAATCTTCCCAGGATACCCAGAGCCTTCTGGACGCTTCTTCGAAGACCCCAAATAGGCTTCCGAGAGGCTTCCCACGAGTCGCAAGGATATATACATATAACGGCGCACCGGGTCCGGGGGCCTGGGGCCGGGACCCCGACCACAAATGTGGGCCCCGGGGGCCCCGGAGGCTCGTCGGGGCTTGCCAGAGGCCTCCCCGGTCAGACAAGACTGCCCAAGAAGCGCCCAAGACGGCCCAAGAAATTTCCAAGAGGCCTCCAAGAGGGCTCCAAGATGCTGAAGATGGCCTCCAGACGTCCAAGGACGCCCCCAAGACGCCCCAAGCAGCCTCCAACATGCGTCCCAAGAGGGCCCCTAGACGCAAAAATTGGCCCATTCCCTTCGTAAAACGTCCATTTTTCACAAAGTCGCCTTTTGGGCTTTCCGACGTTACAGGACGGCCCAAGAGGCGCCCAAGACCGCCCCAAGACGGCCCAAGAAGCTTCCAAGAGGGCCCCAGGACAGCCCAAGAGGGCCCCAAGACGGCCCAAGAGGCGCCCAAGATGGCCCAAGAGGGCCCCAAGACGGGCCCAAGAGGGGGCCCAGAGGGGGACCACGAACCGCAAGCTCGAGCCTTCCGCCCCAAGAGGCCGCCAGGAGGCCCCAAGGAGGCCCCTCAAGAGGCCCCAGGAGACCCCCAAGAGGCCCAAAGGAGGCCCCGAGAAGCCCCAAATCGGCCCCCAAAATGCTTCGAACCTGCTTCCAGGAGGCCCCCGACAGGTTCAGAGGCTCCCGAGAAGCTACGTCAAATTCCCAGCGAGCGGCCGGACGAGGCCCCCCACAAAATCACAAGAGGGTTCCAGTATTTGTATCCTTCAGCGTTCTCTGGCTTTCTTCCCCCTGCCCCCTTCCCTGCGACTTTCGTTGACTCAAGCTCGCCTCCTAGCTAGAACCTAAGCGCGCGAAGCGCGCGCGTGGTTCTAGTAAATATATATATGTATATATATATACATACATACACACATTCACTCATATCTATATTTATACTAACTTATATTTAATTGATAAATATACAGATCAATCCTACACTCTTTTGTTTGGTTTTCCTAGGGGCGAGCGTGTAGTTCAGGAGTATACTGGAACGTAAAGGAGTTTCGAGTTTGACCTAGAATAGAGTTTAAGAGGGGAGAAAGACTTGAGATATATAGGAGCCTCGTCCGTAGTCTATCGTTTTCAAAAGAGACAAAGATGGTAGCGGAGCTGGACTAGTTCCAGCTCCCAGTCCCGCACGCGCCCCACACGCGCCCGCGCGTGTGCGATAACCGCCGGCAGGCGGACGGGAACGGAACGACGGAAAAGGCGCGAACTCCGAGGCTGGCTGGATACAGAACGGCGTCGAGGACGCCTGGAAACGCCTGATAGCGAAAGCGATCCGCATCGGTCGCTTGACAGGATACTGGCGCCAGCTCGGAGCCTACGTGAACTACGTGAAGAACAGGGAAGAGAGGAACGTCTGGGTCAGAGATATGGCGCCCAACCAAGGCGCCATCGACGAGATGCGTAACGCAGTGCAGCAGGCGCAGCAAGCTGTCGGATAACTACAACGACGGAGCGCCGAAGTACGACAACAAGCGCAGCAAGCTGGCACGCCCGAGATCAGGAAGCTCCGGAGAGGCAGTGGAGACACTAGCAACGCTGGTGCCCACGCCGACAGCGCTGCAGTCGATTCAAGCGAAAGATTTTGGTAAGCCACAGGCCTTCAGAACGAAGAGTCAAAGTTCAGCGAGTGGTTGCAGAAGCTCAATAGTTATGTGCTCAGTGTGTTCGAGGTGAACTCCCGACTGGTGATCCAGTGGGCCGTGGGCCAGGCTAACGATTCCCTGGCTTTCTCCACCGCGTCGGCGGTTGCGCAGTTCATAGACGACGGAGATGGCGGCGAGGAAGTTGACGCAAGGTGGGCGAAGGCGAGTAGCTCTCGCAGCTCTACGCGGTGGGTGTTTCGCTCACGGAAGGCGAGTCGTTCGACTTAGTGGTCGGCGCCGGCCAGGGCAACGGGGCAGGGGCCCTGCGTCTGCTGGCTGGGATCCCACCAGCGGCGGTCGCCGCCGAGTGCTGCTCAAGACGATCATGGCGCTCAGCAGGGTCGTGGAGCTTGAGGACCTGGCCGGAGGGAATTCGTGAAGTGGGAGGAGCTGATCAGGCGCTGCGAGAGGCGACGGGCCGACGGGCGAGACATGCACCCTGACCTGACGACGAGATCAATATGGGTGCGCTTGAGAGCCTCGCTACCTGTCTATGCGCGAGGAGGTCAGAGGCTTCCTGGAGACTCGGCAAGCCCGCGGAGCCCTCGGTCGAGCCCAGGGGGGCCCGATGGCAGTCGACGCGTTCGTGAGAGACGTCAAAGGGAGGGGCAGCAAAGGCGAGGACAATGGCGACGAAGGCAAGGTCACTGGCAGAGGTAAGACGAACGACCCGAATACAACGTGCTGGTTGGGGGGAGTAAGGTCACCGAGCTGCAGACTGTCGCGGGCCGAGAGACAAGAGACAGGGCAAAGGTAAAGGCAATATCGGCGGCCAGGGCGCGAAGGGCCGATCGTGTCAACGAAGCGGCGTTCGTCGAGGCAGCCCCCGCAACTTCGAGGGCGACGCGCAGAGCGCCGTCGGCTCGCAGTTGCCCGCCTCAGCTTCGCAGGTCGGCGGGTGCAACCAGTCGGTTGCCGCGCTGAGCTCCGACGCATTTGGGCGCGTCCTCGGCCAAAGCTGGGCGGGGGTGAAGGGCGCGAAGCACTGCCGCAGGAGCATCGTTATGACCTGCGACACGGGCGTCGCGACGACAGCCTTCCCGCTTGCGCGGGGGGGGTGGGTATAACGAGCCTGGCGGCAGCTCCTGCCGTGCGGCCACGGGCGAGATCGTGGAGGGCGTGGGCGGCGTTGGCGTCGATGGAATGCCGGAGTGCGGCGAGCGCGTATTCCTGGAGGGCAGGCGCGCGAACGTCGGGGGGCCGCTCCGGTCTGACTCGGCTATTGGCACCGAGGGCCACTTCACTTGGATCGGCGCCTTCGGTGACTACATCGTGAGGGGCGGCGAGTTCGCCGGGTAGATCCACCAGATGATTGACCAGTGCGTGGCCGAAGAGAACAGGGGCTTCGCGCCGCTGCGCCTGCAGGGCGGTGTCTACAAGATGGACGTGATGATGGGCGTCCCGAGGCCGGCTGCTTCATCGGGGTCAGCAGCGGTCGACCTCTGCCCCTGGCGCCGGCGAGCGCGGGCCCTCGTCGGCGGGCAACGGCTCCGTGGGAAGCGCGGGCGCCTCGCAAATGCCGGGCTCGCCGCCGCCGGGGCCGACCGCGAGGCCGACGGCGCGTGGCGAAGACTACGATGGTAGTCCTCAGGGCGTTGCGCCAGCGGAAGTGCAGGGGCGCAGGAGACTACCGACCCGGACCGAGGTGGATCAACGCGAAGCCGCAGGTCGCCCTAGTAAAGAAACAATCACATTACCCCCGGGACCCCCCCCGGAACCACCCCATGGGACCGCCCGGACCGCCCCCCGGGACTGCCCCCGGGGCGATCCCCCTGGACCGCCCCCTGGCCCCGGAAAGGGATCTAAGGGAAGGGCTTCGCCTTCGTCTCCATGTCAGCGATGTTATGTGGCGTAGTGGCTGGAGTGGATTGCCGCGGCAGGGATGGCGGCGACCACGCGGGCGAAAGCGTCTCGCACGCGCCGGCAGGGTCGGCGGATTTTTTCAAACCTTTCTTGGTTGGATATTGTGTTTGAGTAGAGCACTGTGGTCTCCACGTCCTCCTTCCGCTCCCGCCTCCGTCCTCCTGCCTCATGCTGTTTTTGCCTTTTCCTTTCTCCCCTAACCATCTCTGGTTTAGTATTCGCCTTGACTAGAGCACTCTGGTCGCTGGGGGTTCCAGCGGAGTGACGCCCGACCCATACTCAGATTCGACCTTGCCATCCTTGGGGGGCTGCGATCTGCGAATCTCCCGCCACTTTCGACGGCTGCTGGGGGCGGGGACATCGTGGCGACGTCCAACCCAGCTTCAGAATGCACCCTGCCACCCTTGCGGCGTTGCGATCTGCGAAACGTGCAGATTCGACCTCGCCATCTTTGGTGGCTGCGATCTGCAAAGCTGTCGCCACGTTCGAGGCTGCAGATTCAGATTACGCTTCGCCGTCCTTGGGGGATTGCGATTTACAAAACGGTCGCCACTTTCGAGGGCTGCTGGGGGGGCCAGCCTAATGACGTCCTACCCAGATTCAGATTCGATCCCGCCATCCTCGGGGAACTGCGATCCGCGATAACGTCGCCACTTTCGAGGGCTGCGGGGGGGCAGCAGAGTGACTTTCTACCCAGATTCATATTCGAGCTCGCCATTTCTCGCGCTGCGATATGCAAAGCAACCGCCGCTTGCGACGGCTGCTGGGGGACGAGGGTAGCATGGCGACGCCTTACACATACGCGGACTAGACCTCGCCATTTATCTTGGGGGGGTGCGATCTGCAAATGCGTCGCCACTTCGAGGGCTGCTGGGGGGGCCCTCATGGTGACGTCTTACACATAATCATATTCGACTTAGCCACCATTGGGGGGCTGCGAACTGCGACACGGTCGTTAGTTTCGACGGCCGTTGGGGGACCAGCATTGTGACGTCCAACCCAGATTCAGATTAGACCTCGCCATCCCTGGGGCGCTGCGATCTGCGAAACTGTCGTCATTTTCGAGGGGTATTGGGTGGGGGGCAGCAGAGTGACGTCCTACCCGGATTCAGATTCGACCTCGCCATTTTTTTGGGGGGGGTGCAATCTGCGAAGCGGTCGCCACTTTCGACGGCTGCTGGGGGGGGCAGCACAGTGACGTTTTAGTCGTATTCAGATTCGACCTCGCCATCCTTGGGGGCAGTGATTTGCGGAACCGTCGCCACTTCCGAGGACTGCTTTGGGGGGGAGTATACTGACGTCTTACCCACCTCCAGATAGAATCTCGCCATCCTTGTGGGGCTGCGATCTGCAAGTGTGGCATCACTTTCGAGGGCTGCTGGGGGGGGACAGCATGGTGACGTCCTACACAGCTTCAGACTAGACCCCGCCATCCTTGGGGTGTTGCGTCTGCGAGACGGTCGCCACTTTCGAGTGCTTTTTTGGGGGGGGGTTGCAGCAGAGTGACGTCCTACCCGGATTCAGATTCGACCTCGCCATCCTTGGGTGGCTGCGATCTGCGAAATTGGCGCCACTTTCGAGGCCTGCTCGGGAGGGGGCCAGCGTAATGACGGATTACCCAGACTCAGATTCGACCTGCGTCGCGGGCGTCGCGGACCAACCCGCGCGCGGCGCATAGCGCTGTGGGCGCCCTGCCCACCTTCTCCTGTAAGCCTTCCTTCGCCCGTTCTCCCCCTCAGCACAAGGAGTTAAGTAATCACCTCTACAAAACACTTGTCCCTTGGTCGGCGTCCTGCGAGTCGATGCAGTTCGCGAACCTTCCGGATGTCGTTCGCAGAAACATATACCACCGTGCCACGTTATCACACCCTCTGAATGACACCCAGCTATTTTGGCCATGCGTTGCGCAAGGGTTGGGTACGTCGTCAGGGTCAGTTTCATCTGTTAGGGCGAATGTGCGCGGCGCTGAATCGAGAGCCAATTTTTGAAAACCATTCTTGCTCCACCCTGTAATTGGTACACGGGTTTGAGACGAATGCGTGCGGCGGTAAGGCGAAAATCCCAGTCTGACAGCGACCACTGTTCCTCCGTCCCTGGGGGGAGCAGGAATGAGGGGAACATGAAAAGGACCAGGAAGGGGAACCGGACGGACGAGGACAGTGGAGCAGGAGGAAACGGATGAGGAGGAGGAGGAGGACGGTGGAGCGAGAGGACGAGGGAGGAAGAATGAAGGAGGAAGGAGGAGGGAGGAGGGAGGAGGGAGGCGCCGGCAGGAGGGAGGAGGAGCAAGGTGAGTTAAGGGGATGTCAGAGGATCAAAGGGGAGAGGCGTCAGCACGGACCGCGGCTCCGGCGGGCGCGCCGGCAGGCGCGGCCCCTGCCCAGGACGGAGAGAGGCAGGCGGGAGGAGGGCCGCGCCGGGCATCGTGCGCGGGGCGCTCCGCGCTCCGCCGTGGCGGAGCCTCCTCTTCCTCCTCTTCCTCCTCCTCCTCCTTCTCCCTCCTCCTGCTCCTTCCCCTCCTCCTCCCTCCCCTGCCCCTCTCCCTCCTCCCCCTCTTCCTCCAGTTTTCTTTTTGTCCTCCTCCTCTCCATCTCCCCCCCTCCTCTTCCGCTGCCGAGGCCGCCTTCTGGCTCTTCGTGGCGATGCTGCAGCACTACGGCCTGCGCTGCATGTTCGAGGTGGCGTCGCCGCGCGGGAAGCGCAGCCCACAGGGGATCCAGGGCCGACGGCTCTTGTTCGCGGCGTCTCTGTTCTCCTGCTCGAGAAGGAGAGGGGGGCGATGGCTATGATAGTGGTGAGGATGATGCTGCTGATTTTAACAATGACCATGCTGATGCTGCTAATGATATGCTGCTGATAATGATGCTGATGATGATGCTGCTGTTGATGCTGACTATTTTTCTGCTGCTGATGATGCTGCTGATGATGATGACCATGATGATGGTGCTGATGCTGATGCTGCTGACGATGATGCTGATGCTGATGCTGATGCTGATGATGATGCTGATGCTCATGCTGATGATGATGCTGATGATGATGCTGATGCTGATGCTGATGCTGATGCTGATGATGATGATGATGATGATGGTGGTGGTGATGGTGGTGATGATGGTGATGGTGATGGTGATGGTGATGGTGATGGTGATGATGATGATAATGATGATGATGATGCTGATGATGGTGATGGTGGCGATGGTGATGGTGGTGGTGATGATGAGGATGATGATGAGGATGATGATGATGATGATGATGATGATGATGATGATGATGATGATGATGATGATGATGGTGTCATCAATGATGACGGTGAGGACGATGACGACAGTTTGTGTGATGTCAACTGAACAGGACGATGCTGCTGCTGATGTTGGTGACGGTGATGCTGTTGTGGTGGTCATGATGATGTGGATTTCTGATTGCGGACGTCAGATCATGAGCCGTGAAGATGCAGAGGGTGGGAAGCTAAGATCGGGCTCCAGCCTGGGCTGTTCGTACAGGGCCAGGCGTGACTGCGGCAAGCAATCCAGGCTATCTGACGAGCCCTCTCGCGAGCAGCCAGATCAAGACTGGCGACTGTGCTTTCAGTAGAGCGGCCGAGGGACGCAAGAGCGTCTGAGCAGCGTATGGCCCTGCAGGCCAGATGATGGTTTGCAGAAGGACGACTTGAGAAGACCTTCGTGCATGCTGGGCAAGAGAAGCACTTGACAACCCACCTAGCACCGTTACCAACAGCGTGGGCACGAACTATATTCTAGGGAGGCCTCGGTTGCTGGTGCATCTTTGACGCCGCTCCGGAGGGCACCGCATGCACGCAAATGGAGCACCAGGTGAAGCAGCCGAGGATGAGGCATCGATGCTCGCTGGAGCCAAGGTCCAGGCACGAACTCGAGAACTAGCTCACGCCAAGGCCCTGGGTCTTGGGTCTGGCAGATATCCCAGGGTATGCGTGGTTTGCCAAGCCCGCGCCAACTGCTCAGCCAATGGCTTCGAGTCGGTCGATCGACAAAACCCGAGGGTCACCAAGATTTTTTGGGGCTCCGTCCAGGGTCCTGAAAGCAGCTGTGTGGCGGCGCTGGAGGAGGAGGTCAGAAGGGAGCTCTCGTAAGTTGGTGAGTACAGAATTATCAGTGCCATGGCTGGCTGCTCTAGCCCTGCTGCGGCTGCAAATCTGGCGCAGCACATGGAGGCGAGCAGCATTCAGAACCCTAACTGATTTTCCTGGTGGGCTCAACCCACGTCCCTCTTTTCCTGACAAGAGCCGCGAACAGCACAAGGAGTGAGCAAGGGATAGCCTAATGTCACCCGAACAAGAGATGTGCGACGGGATAAAACGAAGCAAGGCACATAGGCGTTTCACGTTGGCATCCATCAATGTGGAGTCACTAGTAGTCCGTACGGTGCCAACGTGCTTGCTCCCGTTCGCGACGACAGCTTGTTTGTCACTTGTCTGAGTGGTCGAAACATCTAAATTCGTGGCAGTGTACTTCAGCGCTCTCTGTGCACGGCGGCCGCCCTTATCGCAAATTCTTTACGCTTCGCGTATCCCCACCAGCCCATCTCAACACAGCAACTCTTGCGAAGCATGCCGACAGTCGTGTTTTTCAGGCGTGTGTCCGCTTGCCCCCGCATATCTCCCCTGTTCCTCCTTCCTCCCGCCTCCTTGTACATCCTCCTTGTGGGGGAGCGGGAGAAGGACGAGGCGGAGGAGGAGGGAGAGAAAGCGCTCCTCGTGGTTTGAGTCGTTTGGGGTTTCTCGTCCTGGTGTGAGTCGTTCGGGCCCTTCTTCCTGGTGTGAGTCGTTCGGGCTCTTCGTGGTGTGAGTCGTTCGGGCTCTTCGTCCTGGTGTGAGTCGTTCGGGCTTCTCGTGGTGTGAGTTGTTCGGGCCCCTCGTCCCGTCGGTCCTGGTGTGGTGTGAGTCGTTCGGGGCCCTCGTCGTCGTGGTGTGAGTCGTTCGGGCGCCTCGTCCTGGTGTGAGTCGTTCGGGCCCCTCCTTCTGGTGTGAGTCGTTCGGGCTCTTCGTGGTGTGAGTCGATCGGGCCTCTTGGCGGCCCCAGGGCGGCCCCAGGGGCTTCTAGGAGCGTCTTGGGTGCCTTGGGGGAGCCTCTTCGGGCCTCTTGGGAGCCTCTTGGAGGCCGTTTGGGGCGTCTTGGGGGCCTCTTGGCGGCTCCAGGGGCTTCCAGGAGCGTCTTGGGTGCCTCGGGGGAGCCTCTTGGGGCCTCTTGGGGGCCTCTTGGGGGCATCTTGGGGGCCTCTTGGAGGCCTCTTGGGGCCTCTTGGGGCTCTTTGGGAGGGGTCTGGGAGGAATCTTGGGGCCATCTGTCGGGCGATCGATCACAGATGGGGCGAGCACCTTTCTCCCTCCCCCCGTCGGGGCCAGAATCCTCGTGAGGGGTGTCGAATTTTAGCCCTCCCAGGAGTCGAACAAGACCCCTCCAACCACCCGCGGGACGCCCTCTCCAGGCCCAGGGGGAGGGGGTAGGGGGAGGGGTAAACCCCTCCCCGAAGGGGAAGAGGGGGGGTTGAGAACAGAGAGAGCTCCCTAAACCACTCACGCGGGCTGGTGGGATTTCAAGAGTGACTGGAGGCTTCGTTTCTCGAGCTCGACGATGGTGACCTTAGCACTTGTAAGGTGGCGTGATGATGTGGTGATGATGATTATGATGACGACGACACTGATGACGATGATGATGGTGGAGGCCACCATGATACTGATGATGACGATGATGATGATGTTGATGATGCTTTTCATGATGATGATGATGATGATGATGATGATGATGATGATGATGATGATGATGATGATGATGATGATGATGATGATGATGATGATGATGATGATGACGATGATGATGATGATGATGCTGATGATGGTGATGATGATAACGGTGATTGTGTCGGTCATGATGACAACGCTGACAATGATGATGCTGGTGCTGATGCTGATAATGGTACTGACACTGAATGATGATGCTGATGCTGATGATGATGGTGATGTTGATGGTGATGGCGATGGTGATGGTGGTGGAGGCAGATGTGTGACGACGGTGATGATGCTGGTGATGATTCAGATACTGGTGGTGCTAATGCTGTTGCAGTTGCTGACGATGATGATGGTGGCGCTGCTGATGACGCTGATGATGACAAGGGGATGGTGATGGTGATGGTGATGGTGGTGGTGGTGGTGTTGATGATGCTGCTGATGATGATGCTGATGGTGCTGCTGCTGATGATGATGGTGGTGGTGGTGGTGTTAGTGGTGGTTGTGATGATGACGATTGGAAGGAGGAGGAGGGGGAGGAGGAGGGGAAGGAGGGTTGAAGAAGGGGAGGAGGAGGAGGAGGAGGAGGAGGAGGAGGAGGAGGAGGAGGAGGAGGAGGAGGTGAGTGCGCGGCGCGAAGGCGAGAGCCCCATTTTGAACATCACCTGTGCTCCATCCTGGTACCTGTTATGGATTTCAAGCTTCAGGACCATACTTGATGACGAAACGACTGGGGGGGGCGACAGGGAGGAGCTATTCTTGACGCTTCGCGTATCACCCCCAGCACATCTAGAAACGTTTGGATGCGACGCCAGACGCCTCAGCGAGGGCCCGCCAGAGCGACGCCAGTCGAGGGGTAAGACCAGCGCCAGCCCACCGCCCATGGCGACACACGACCTCCCGCAGCAGCATCCCTCACATGCTCGACCCCCCGGGAATTCAGAGCGCGCGATTCGGGGGTGCTAACCAGGACGCTTTTCGGCTCCCCCCCCTCTCGCGTTCAGCAACAATTAACAGTATGGAAGCAGAGAACAGGACTGTAACAGTGGAAACTGGAAGCTGCAACTGGAACAGGGAGCTGCAATCCTCATCCTCGCAGCGTGATGGCCCCGCACTGGGGCCGGAGAACATATATATATATATATATATGCGTATAGATATATCGTGTGCGAGCTGTGTGGTGCACGCTACATGATGTGAGGTATGTGGTGAAAGATATGTGCTGTAAGCTACGCGGTGCAAGCTACGCGGTGGCAGCTACGTGGTGTCCGCTGTGCGGGGCAATACACGTGCTGTAAGCTGTGTGGCATCAGCTGTCTGGTGCAAGCTACGTGGTGTAGGGCAGTGGTATAGAGACTACGTAGAGCAAGCCACGTGGTAAAAACTGCAGGGCGGTCTATCGGCCGCGGAGCGTACGAGGCCCCCACCGGCGCGCGGCACGCCCATCCAGCGCACGGAGCGCTCACGAGCACCCACGGGCTGGCACCAGGCGGAACTTCGGCCCACCCACCCAACACGAGGCGCCCACGAGGTGCCCTTGAGGCGTCCACGGCCGAGCAAGTGGCGAAACTTCGGCACGCGTGCCCAGCGCAAGAGGCGTCCACGGAGCGCCCGCGAGGCGCCCACAGGCGGGCACCAGGCAGGACCCCGCCACACCCATGCATCACGATGTGCCCACCCACTTGTGCCCGCTGGCGCCCACCAGCTGGGCATCGGCCGAAGACCCAGCACACCCAGCCAGAACCGTGAGAGACACAGATGTGAAGCCGTCAGTGCAAGCATTGTTTTCAGGAAGCAGGCATACTTGAGGCAGGCTGCACGCCGCCACATGAGGGGCCCCGCGGCCCTCCTCCTTCCTCCCGTCTCGGCTCGAGTAACCCGCGCCGTTCCTGCCGGCGCAGGGCCCGCAGGGGGCCCTGGCGGCGCCGCCTCGCTGGGCCCCTCCGCCGCGAGGCGGCCTCCCAGCGATGAGGGTCCGGTCCTCGCCGTTCCCCGGCGCAGGCCGGTCTGCGGCTGCCGCTGCCGCGGCGCTGCTTCGCGCTGCCGCCGGTCGTCCTTCGTGTCGCTCGGCAGGCTCCTGGCGGGGGGGGGGATGGAGCAGTTGGGAGGAGGGGGAGGTGAGGGAGAGGGTTCCGGATGATGGGTGTGCGGTTGATGACGACGGTGGCGATGACGGTGACGATGCTGGTGACGGTGACCACTACGATGATGATGACTTAGATGAAGACGAAGACGATGCGACGATGACGAAGACGATGATGATGATGATGATGATGATGATGATGATGATGATGATGATGATGTCGATGACGTCGATGACGATGATGACGATGATATTGAGGATGACGGTGACGATGACGATGACGATGATGATGACGATGATGCTGAATACTGGTAAAACAGAATACTAAGGGAAGACTATAGTATAACAATAAGATGGTGATGACATTGTTGTTGATGCTGATGATGATATTGACGGTGCTGATGATGCTGATTATGCAGACGATGATGGTGATGATGGTGATGATGGTAACGATGAGGATGATGCCGATCACGATGCTCATGATGATGCCAATGTTGATGATGATGGTGATGACGGTGGTAGTGATGATCATGCGTTTGATGATGATGGTGGTTGCGGTGATGCTGTGGTTGATATTGTTGCGTTTTTTTTGGTGTTGTGATTGTTGTTGTCGTTGTCGTTGTCGTTGTCGTTGTCGCTGTCGCTGTCGTTGTCGTTGTCGTTGTCGTTGTCGTTGTCGTTGTTGCTGCTGCTGCTTATGTTATTGTTATTATTGTTGTTGTTGTTGTTGTTGTTGTTGTTGTTGTTGTTGTTGTTGTTGTTGTTGTTGTTGTTGTTGTTGTTTGTGTTGTCGTTGTTATTGTTGTTGTCGTCGTCGTTGTTGTTGTTGTTGCTGTTGCTGCTGTTGTTGTTGTTGTTGCTGCTGTTGTTGTTGTTGTTGTTGTTGTTGTTGAACATTATTAATTCTAAAGAATAATTATTGTTGGGACCCCTGGTGCACGGCCCCCCTGCGCCGCCTAGGCCGCAGCTACATTTTCATCATTTTCGTGAGGAAGCCTCAGGTAATTCGATGTGATCAAGATCCGGTTGTTTTGTTCCCCCCCGCTTTCCCTTGCAAAAAACACTATAAAATGACATTTCTTGTTCTAATATAATCAAATTTCAAGAATCCCTTGCAAAAAATAAGGTAAAGTGGACATTCGCGCGCGCAAGACGAAATCCTTCCAAAAGCTTAGTGTTCGGAGCGATTTTAACATAAAAACATCAAAAAACCAATGGTTTTTCAACAAAAAAATGTCAAAATCTCATCCCGCGCGCTCTTGCGGATTCGTAGGAAACCCAACACTTTTTAAACATTTCTGTCAAACGGGCTTTTGCGAGCAACTTTTTCGAACTTCTGCGACAACGGTTGCGCACCTGCCAGGGCCATCATCCCTGTCAAATAATACCATGCGGGACACATTCGTTTTTTGCGCGCGCACGCCGAAATCTCCAAAAACCATTGGGTTCTTAAGAATTTTAGCACCGCGCATCATAAAATCACACGACCCCGAATAAGTGACCAAGTTCTGTGGGTGTGTACCCCACGCCAGTGTAGTAGCCACGGTCGTCCGCACGCCACGAAGTGAAGTGTCCCAACGTCATAGGGCGGGAAGCTGGGTTTGGGTGGTCGCGAAGAGTCGTTTGGATATTTGGTAGAGCTTGTAATGCCCCCCCACGAAGTGGGGGTATTGCCTGGTGTCGTATGAAAACCCTGGCACTGGGGAGAACACCACGCGTTCGGGTAAAATGATTGTTGTTGTTGTTGTTGTTGTTGTTGTTGTTGTTGTTTGTGTTGTCGTTGTTATTGTTGTTGTTGTCGTCGTTGTTGTTGTTGTTGCTGTTGCTGTCGTTGTCGTTGTCGTCGTCGTCGTCGTCGTCGTCGTTGTGGTTGTTGTTGTTGTTGTTGTTGTTGTTGTTGTTGTTGCTGTTGTTGTTGTTGTTGTTGTTGTTGTTGTTGTCGTCGTCGTCGTCGTCGTCGTCGTCGTCGTCGTCGTCGTCGTCGTCGTCGTCGTCGTTGTTTTTGTTGTTGTTCGCGAGGACACTACTCGGGGCCTGTTGCTCGATCCCCACCCCCCTTCCCGAGCAACGCCACAGGGCAACGCAGGGGCCCTGCAGTGCCCCACCCTCGAGCAACGCCACGTGGCCTCGCCGAGCCCCTGCAGGGGCCTCGCAGGGCCCCTGTGGCGTTGCTCGGGGGGTCCCTTCGGGGCTGCTGCGAGGCTCCTTGGTGTTGCTCGGGAGGCCCTTGCGAGGCTGTATGGGATCTGTTTCGGATCCCACAGGGCGTACGGGATCTGTACGGGGCCCCATACAGGCCGAAGGTTTCGGGCCAATTCCACGTTTCGTGGCCCCACGGTGGGCTCAGCCGAAGGCCTCGGGTCCAGTTCGGCACACTCTTCGCACGTTTCGTGGCCCCAGTAGGCTTCACCGAAGGTTTCGGGCCAATTTCGGCACCCCTCACAGGCTTCGTCGCCCCAGTGGGCTTCACCGAAGGGTTCGGGCCAATTTCGGCACACCCCTCACAGGCTTCGTGGCCCCAGTGGGCTTCTCCGAAGGTTTCAGGGGACTTTCGGCTCACCCCACACGCGATGTGGCCCCACAAGGGGGCTCCACCGAACGCCTCGGGTCCAGTTCGGCGCACCCCTCACACGTTTCGTGGCCCCAGTGGGCTTCACCGAAGGATCTCTGTCAATTTCGGCAAACCACTCACACGTTTCGTGGCCCCACAGGAGGCTCCGCCGAATGCTTCGGGCCCATTTCGGTACACCCCTCACACGTTTCGTGGCCCCAGTGAGCTCCTCCAAAGGTTTCGGGTCACGTCCACAAGGGGTTCGAACAAAGGCTTCAGGTCCAGTTCGGCACACCCCTCCCGCGCTTCGTGGCCCAAATGGGCTTCACCGAAGGTGTCGGGCCAATTTCGGCACACCCCTCACGCGCTTCGTGGCCCTACAGGGGGCTCCACCGAAGGCTTCGGGCCCATTTCGGCACACCCCTCGCACGCTTCGTGGCTCCAGTTGGCTCCACCTAAGGTTTTGGTTCCATGTCTGCACACCTCTCACACGCTTCGTGGCTCCACTGGGGGCTCCACCGACTGCCTCGGGTCCACTTCGGGACGCTCTCACAAGCTTCGTGGCCCCACAAGGGGGCTCCGCCGACGGCCTCGGGTCCTGTTCGGCACACCCCTCATACGTTTCGTGGCCCCAGTGGGTTCCACACACGGTTTGGGGCAAAATTTGGCACACCCCTCACATGTTCCGTGGCACCAGTGGGTCTTCACCGACGGTTTCTGGCAAATGTCGGTAAACCCCTCACGCGCTTCGTGGCCCCAGTGGGCTTCACGGAAGGTTCCGGGCGAATTTCGGCACACTCTTCACACGCCTCGTGGCCCCGCAAGGGGGCTCGAGCGGAATCTTTAGACAAGGAATGCTTACATAATCTTTGTTTAGGAATGTGCAATCAGGGGTCTTGTTAACAGGATTTTTTAAGGGTTTCTTTAGCAAGGAATCCTTAGTAAGGAATTTGTGTTAAGCGTTCTTTAAAAATGGCTTTTCGAAAAATGAATCGCTGTTAAGAACTATTGATTCATGAATCTGGATTGTGGAATATGTATGAAGGAATCTTTAGTAATGAATATGTAATAGGGAATCTTTGCGAAGGAGTTTTTACTTTAGGAGTGCGTGTTAGATATTCGGCATTAAGGTATATGTATTAAGGATATTGACAACGGAATCTTGATTACGGAATATTTAGTAAGGAATCTTTATTACAGAGTTTTTGGTAACGAATCTTCAGTATGCCATGTTTCTCAATGAATCCTTCGTAAGGAATCCTGAGTCAGAAATCCTTATTCAGGAATCCTTATGAGGGGTTCTTTTATTACGTAATCTTTCTTAAGTGATCTTTACTGAGGAATCCTCTGTAAGGAACCTTTATTCAGGAATCCTTCGTACATACTCCTTACCCAGGAACCCTTACTGACTAAGGAGTCCTTATTAAGCAATTCTTACCAAGGAACCCGTTTTACTAAGGAATCCTTAGTCAGGAATCCTTCGCACATAATCTTCATTAAGCAATCCTTATTCAGGAATGCGTATCAAGGAATATGTATTCAAGAATCCGTACAATGAGCCCGCATTAAGGATCTTATTCAGGACCCCTCACGTCGGAATCCTTACCAAGGAATCCTTAGTACGGAATCCACAGTAACTAATCCTTACAACGGAATCATTACTAATGAATCCTTACCAAGGAGTCCTTACTAAGGAATCCTTATTACCAAATCCTTGTTAAGGAATCCTTGAACCAGAGTCCTTAACACGGAATCCTTATTGTGTATTTTTTCGTACGGAATCTTGAATATGGAGTTCTTACTAAGGCGCATTTGCAAATGAATCCTTATTTAGCAATTCTTCGTGCGGGTTCCCTCATTTGGAGTTCTTTCTAAGGATCATTCTTAGGAAATTCTGATTAAGGAGTCCTTATTCCGGAATATTTGTTCCCTGCCTTCCTTGGTTGTGTATTCGTTTTGATAGACCACTGCTCGCGCGTCCTTCCTTCCTCCCGCCTCCTCCCTCCTCCTGCCCTCTCTTCGCCGTCCCTGGGGGGCTGCGATCTGCGAATCTGTCGCCACTTTCGAGGGCTGCTGGTGGGTCCAGCGGAGTGAGACACCGCGCGGATCTGAGCGGGACCTCGCCGACCTTGGGTGAGCCGCGATCAGCGAATATGTCGCCACTTTCGAGGGCTGCTGGCGGGTCCAGCGGAGTGAGGCACCGCGCGGATCTGAGCGGGACCTCCCCGTCCCTTGGGGGGCTGCGATCTGCGAAGCTGTCGCCACTTTCGAGGGCTGCTGGTGGGTCCAGCGGGTTGAGGCACCGCGCAGAACTGAGCGGGACCTCCCCGTCCCTGGGGGTCTGCGATCTGCGAAGCTGTCGCCACT